ATATTTTAGAATATATTGTTTGTCATTTGATCGTAGCTTTTGTAATATTTTAAATCGTTTTCATTTAAAGTCAAAAAGGACGAAATTTTTACCAAAAAATTGTAATTTTAACTTTTAGATCGTCGTTATTTTGTTAAAAATTGTTATTTTTTAAAAAAGCCACAGTAGAATTACACACATATATATATATATATATATATATAGAGAGAGAGAGAGAGAGAGAGAGAGCGCAACATTATTTAAGATTAAAATGATACCAAAACCATTTGTCTTAAAATCATTTGTTTTAAATGCCTACAAAAGAAATTAGCATACCAACTGTGAAGGAGGATTTTTAAAAAAACATCTTTTTTATTGTGTTATATCTCAGTCGAAAATTAATATTTTCAACTTTTTTTTTAATACATTTTATAAAACTAATTCTTAACAAATAAATTATGAACAGCACAATTACATACTAAAGATACTTTTTGACCTATCATCTTGGTGTCCCTTCTTAATTTTATAATAATATTTTAATGTCACAGGGCAAGTCTTCAAGCCTACAAATTAATGTAGTTGATGTTTTTGTGCAACAGAAAAGAGCAAAGCTAATGTTAATTCTCTTGATATATAATTCTATTACACTCATGTGCTCGAATTACATTAAGAGGAAAAGAACAGAATACGTTTTCATGAAAAGAATAAAAAAGATCAAAAATATCTACCTTTTTTTTATTAAAAAAAATACATAACTCTTCAAAGAAAGTAATTTAATTTGATGTACAATAATTTAATGATTTGAAGAATAAGATCCTTCAAAAAGTCTGATCATCTAAATGGATGTTCTGCGTAAATCATTATTTTCGCGTGATTACTGAAACACAAACTCTGATAATATAAATTTCCGATAATATTTATGTCATACATAGATAAAATTATATTTAATTGAAACTATTTATTTTAGAGAAATTTGTCAAAATATATAATAAATTTATCGAATAAATTTTTATGCTTATTCAAAAAAATTACATTTTTTAAATAAAATTAAATTAATTTTTAGTTAAAATATTTTTCACAATAAGATATATTCTGTAGAGAATTTTTAATTGATATTATTAAATTGATTATTGAGATGTGATGACATACATATTTCCGAAATCATACAACCGAAAATAAGATAAGATAATTCTTCTCTATGAAAATGTAAATGAAAATAAAGATGCAAAAATATAGAATAAAAATTTTTTTATATAATAAATAATAAATATATTTTATATATTTTAGATAGAGAATTTATATAATATATTTATATAAGAGAATTTATATAATAAATTCTCTTTGAAAAAATCAACTTTAGATATTAAGTATATTTGATTAAGTACGTGACAATTTGTTTGACCTAACATCTGGCTATCTCTCATCATTTTTGTCCGTAAACACTATCAAAATTCTTATTAATGTAATAGTTTACCCGATATCACATTAAGAAAATAATTTATTCTAAGTCGCCAATCCAAATCATCTTCAATTAAAAGATATATAAGCGTATAAGTATTCGAAAAAGTGAAGAACACATTATGGACACATTATCAGCAATTGATGTGTTTTTAATTCGCCGAGCAAGAATTTGTTCGTAACATAAAGGATACTTTCAATAATTTTACAATTAATAAAATAAATATATTATTGAAACTTATTGCATTATTTTAAACTAATTATTTTAAACCAAACATAGAAATAGCGTTGAATAATCAAATTGGGTGAATTAAGCAAATTGTAATTAATCAAGCGAACGCATACTTAACGTATATTCAAACTCAATCGAAAACAGAGCTATACGAAAACAATTTCTATATTTTCGACTTGCTTTTACATGAAGAATCATCTTTCTTTCTTGATTGTATCACAATTTTTTAAACATCCTGTGTACATCCTTTTAATTTTAGCTAGTCGTTGTAAGCTCAAAAAAGTAATGGTATGTAAATGACGGCAGAAACAAAACCTATTAAATTTATACATATTCTTCAAAAATAATTATTAGATACCAAAATTTAATCCGATTGGCCGACATCTTACTATGTTCCTAGTATTAGAACACTTTGTATGTTTCTGTATAAATTTTATTATAATAAAATTAAATAATTTAAAACAATTTAACATTTTTTAAAAATTTTCTTTTACAACCAATTAAACAAGTTTTTGCGTTTGATACACAATGAGTTTCTTTTGTTCGAAAATTCAAATCTTTCTCGTTGTCTGTTATCAGAAGTTGTCATACTTTTTCGAGAAATTTTTTCGAGAAACTGCCGCGTCTTCGCTCTGCGGTTAAATTGAAGCGGAACGCTACAAAGAGATGACGGACGGTTCGATGCCCCAGCCGACCATACGAGAGAGAAAGAGAGAGAGAGAGAGAGAGAGAGAAGAGAGAGAGAGAGAAT